TTCAAGACTCTGGTGAAGTACTACAAGTTCGCTCTCCATCTGTCGCTTCAAAAAGCTTGTTTTATGTGCGTTTATCCGGGGACCCTGTGGCATCTTCGTCTGGTCTTGCTGGCGTTGGTGTCGCACTAAGCGCAAGAGCTGAGGCAGCACTAGTCGACTGGATCCACATTAACAGTCGGTTGTGTTGTTAGATTAGAAAGTTCCATCAAAGTGAGAAGAAATCGGCTAGTAAGTACCGAACCGAGCTAGCTTCTAGGCTAGCTACCATTCCACCGAAAAGTATAGATGATCATTGGTTGCAATTGCATGACGCCATGAAAATGGCGGGTACAGTCTGTTGTGGGTTTGCGAAACGTCCCGCTTACAAGCACTGGGTTTCTTCTGGTTCCTTACAACTGATTGAAGCCCGTCGGTCTACTCCGGGTGACCGTGAGTTTGACCACAGACGAAGGATGTTACGTAATGAAATCGGGCAAAGCTTGCGTAAGGACCGAGAAGCCTGGTGTTCGGAGCGTGCTAGTGAGTTGGAAGCAGCAGCTGCATCTGGTAATTACCGGGAGCTCTTCCAACTCATCCGAGCCACTGGCAGCAAGAAGTCTGGTGTGAGCGAAACAATCTGCGAGGATGACGGAACGCCAATCACTAACATCCATCGACGTCTTGGACGATGGGCAGAATTCTTCGAAGGGCAGTTCAACCGGCCTGCTGCTCCGGCAACATCGGTCAGACTGTCCTGCCCTCCATGGCCGGTGACGACTAATCCACCAAATGAGGCGGAAGTCCGCAAGGAACTCCAACTCTTGAAACGTTACAAATCACCGGGCCCAGTCGACTTACCTCCGGCTCTTTTTAAAGATGGTGGTGACTTTCTGACTAAGGGACTGACGACGTTGTTTACAAAGGTCTGGCAACTAGAGAGTGTACCAACGTCATGGAATGAGTCAATAGTTGTCCCTATCTTTAAAAAGGGTTCACGTTGTTCCTGTAACAACTATCGGGGGATAAGTTTACTTCCGGTTGCGTCCAAGCTATTGGCTTTCGTTATACTTCGTAGGTTGTTCAAAACACGAGAAAAATTTTCTCATGATGAACAGGCTGGTTTTCGTTCTGATCGAGGATGTATTGATCATATCTTCACCCTCCGCCAAGTGTTAGAACACCGTCATACTTATCAAAGGCCAACAATCGTAGTGTTTCTTGATATCAGGGCTGCCTTCGATTCGTTGGACAGAACTGTTCTCTGGGATTGTCTATTGAAGAAGGGTGTGTCTGTGAAGTTTATTAACGTCTTGAAAGTCCTATACACAAACACCTCAGGCAGAGTGAGGGCATACGACCATCTCTCTCCATTATTCCATTCGAGCAGTGGAGTTAGGCAGGGTTGCCCAATCTCACCATTCCTCTTCAACTTTGCCATCGATGACATTCTGGAAACAGCTCTGACGGATGTAAGCAATGGTGGTGTGGATCTGTTGCCTGGAGAAAGACTTCTCGACCTTGAGTATGCGGATAATATTGTTTCACTGTGCGAGAATGCCCAAGCCATGCAATCCGCACTTAATCAGTTGGCAATCAGTGTCCGTAGGTATGGTATGTGCTTTGCACCTTCGAAGTGCAAAGTACTTCTACAAGACTGGCAGGATTCTAATCCTGTACTCACTCTGGATGGTGAGCAGATAGAAGTAGTCGAGAAGTTCGTGTATCTAGGTAGCTGCATAAGTGCTGGTGGTGGTGTGAGTGATGAGATGAATGCACGTATAGTGAAAGCCAGAGCGGCTTATGCCAATCTGGGCCATCTTTGGCGCTTTCGTGATGTTAGTCTGGCTGTAAAAGTTCGGATCTACAACGCGACGGTGAGAGCAGTTTTGCTCTATGCTTGTGAAACCTGGCCTCTCCGAGTTGAGGATGTTAGACGACTCTCTGTGTTCGATCATCGTTGTCTCCGGAGGATTGCTGGCATCCAGTGGCAACACCATGTCAGTAATGCAGAGGTTCGGCATCGTGTGTTCGGGCACAGAGACGATAATGAAATTGGTGTCACCATCTTGAAACACCGACTTCGGTGGCTTGGACATGTTCTACGAATGTCGTCCCAGAGAATTCCACGTCGTGCACTATTTGCCGACCCTGGGACTGGTTGGAAAAAGCGGAGAGGTGGTCAGTATATGACATGGTGTCGTGGTATGAAAGAAAGCTGCAAAGGGCTAGCTTCTGTTGGTCCTTCACGACTCCCTGGCTGGGGTCCGAGAGATGGTGTAACAGTGGCTAGAAACGTTATCAGATATGGCTCAGAATAGAAGCCAGTGGCGATCCTGCTGTAACCTTCTTTTACTTTCTTCATAAAAAGTGGTTGTATCTTCCTTAACTGAAAGATCTCTTCTGATTGTACCTTTCCGTTTCCCCCACCATTGTTCTCTCTTTTTTTTTAAAAATATAATTCCCCACGTTCATTACTTTTTTTTTCTTCTCTTTTCTCCTTCTCTTCAAATTATCATTGTTTTGTGTGGCGCATATATATTTGGTGCCCTCCTGTACCATTATTTATGTGTTTAAATAAATAAAACACGAATCGACAAGAAATATGATTGTCGATAATACGCTACCACCTCTATCCCCGTTCATAAATTTATAAATTACTATGAGCTATAAAACGTAGCAAAATCAAGCCTGATTTGTAATTGCGAAAAACATATATTTTAACTCTTGAATTTCAATTAGACTATGTTCCATCTTCAAGCAGTTCTGTGCAACACTTTGATTAGAGTTGTTATTATGAATTAAGAGTATTTATTTGAATGGGTTGTATCATATCAGTGTTTTCGTAGCATTACTAGGAACATTCTTTAATGCTATAGTCTAAAAATGATGTAACTGATTGGATTAATACGATATTAAAAAATGGATTTGTTTTGCTGATAACATACAACTGGATAAGAGCTATGGTGGTTACCGTCAAAATCCTTGTTATAAACTTATAGTTAATCTAAACATGGATATAGATTTATCCAATTGTTAAGCAGAAGACACATAATGTAATTTAATTAATCATTTTATTTCTAAGTAATAACATGAAGGAGTGAGGCTTAATGATTAAAGAATTCATCATTTAACTAATAAATTTCATATTTAAATCATCTTCGGTCTACTTTAGTTTAGACAACCAGATAGTATCACTAGCTTTTTCAGCATTTAATTTATGTAGAAGTCACTGAAAATATTATCTATAATAATAATAATAACAATAACTCCACAATGAAACGATCTAGTTCACGGAATACAACACTATCAAAAGTTTCTAGTTAGTCTGCAAATATTATTTCAATTTTGTTAGCTCTGTCATACACAAACTTTATGATTCAATATTAAATGCATAAATCATTATTTAGTAAATAAGTTACATGACTTGTTTTAATTTTTCATTATTACATGTTAAGATGATTATAAATGTTAGGGAAATAGGAAGACAAATAAAACTTTACATCATCTTATTTCGTTTTTGCAATTTTCTAATAACATCATATTTCATGATTGATATTATTATTACTATTATTATTATTATTATTATTATTATTCTTTTAATGGTTTGCAATCATCCTATCTTCAATGTACAGAGATAGTATTGATTGGTTTTAGACTAAATGTGACTTTGAAATGCACTTTCCTGGTAACGGAGTTAAAGGGTAGACCTAGTAATGAAGCAATGGGTAAATAAATCCTTGAAATTATAATGAAAATCAATAGATATGAATGTTAAATTTTGAACCAATGAAGAAATTTAACATTTACAATATAAAGACAATATTTTTTTTATATAGTTAAATTGATACTATTCAAAATAGACAGCATAAGGAATTATTTAGAAATGTAGTGGAAAGTGTTTTTTTTTCTAAATATTAGGGGAGATTATGCAATATTGATCGAAAGGTAATATAAAACAGTAAAATAGAAATAAATTCCAGATGGAAAACAATTGTCTATCTGAACAATCTTAAGTAGAAATAATGGGTAAGAACTTTTAAAATTATAAAAGATTTATTACTACTACTATTGCTAATTATTTCGAAGACCGAGATGAACTTGGAGCTTGAATATATAGTTTTAGCATGCACAGAACTGTTTTGAAACGATAATTTCCCAACGCTTCTGCTGAGCTTAGAAATGCATTTGGAGGCAGTATACTTTATGCAGTCAATACAAACCAATCCATAAAGGCAAGTGGTCTGATAAATGTACATCGAAATGAATCAAATTTATACGAATATTCGTCAAGATTAGAACGAATAGTTTGACATACAGTGAATCACATTTATGTTTAACACATCTCATCAGTTGTTAACTGGGAACATAATTTAATATTTTGCATAACAGCAAATATTAATGATCTAGTTAATTGAGATAATTCCAATGGGAATTAGAAATACTAGTAATAATTAGTATCTGAGTGATAAAACCTGATCATTGAGGTCATGAACGTTGATAAGATCGTTTGGAATATGTACATTACTCCAGTTTAATAGCTGGATAATTATTGAAAGTGTATTCCGTTGCCATTAAGTCACAAAGATTTCCAAGCAGTATTAGAAATTTTCTGTGACAATATCGACCCGATTCTCTCAGGATAGACGCATGCCAAAGCATACCGATCAATTATAATCCTTACCATCAACAGGAATATTCAACACAACTTCATGTAAATTGAAATTCACCACCCTCCTATTGCACAACCTAGTGGTTATCTGAAAATCGGTACTTGATTTTGAGTCACTGTATGAATATCAACACTGACGTGCGGATAAATTCAGATGACTATTCGCAAATGGGATGAAATGCACGTCCTGGTTTCTACTATTAGCCACAATCCACTTATGCTCAATCGTGATTTTTATTTAAACAATATTAATCTCGTGGTTTCTATCGAATTTTATGTACATATGCTTTTTTTCTCTGTAATTGTTTTTGTCTATTACATTATCTACATAATTTTTGATTTTATTCTTTAGTCTGCCTTATTAGCGGCTTTTTCAGCTGGTATGGTTATGGTTCATAATCCATTAAAAATCAGCTGTGATTCAGATGGTCAACAACTGACCAGCGAAACACCAATCACAACAACGACAACAACATCAGTTGGAGTGTACTCATCCAATTTGAAAGCTACCAAAGTTAGTGGAACACCTTTAACACATTATCAATGGGATTATGAAAAAGATGAAGATAGAAGTAGAGTATATGGTGAAGAAATAACGGATAATGGTGAAGAACATGGTGATGATGAAGTTGGTGAAGTGGATGCTGAACAATATAATGATGACTCTGAGTATGATATGGAACGAGTTATTGTCGCTGGTGGCAGTAATGATAAATCTAGTAATGAAGGCAATTATGCAATGGGTTCACATTGTCTAGATTCTGGTGTACTACTTAGACAAGGTATTATTCTACGTGGAAGTAGAGGTGGATCACCAGCATCGGTAACTGGTGGTGGTGTAACGCATCAAACAGGTTTCGGTCATTCTCATCCTTCTATTTCTCAAACGAATTTTATAGCGCCATCATTTCGTGGTCTTGTAAAAAGTAATAAATTACCTAGTAGAAATAATGAAGAACTAAAGCAAACATTTGTGTTCACTTCAACTAGTCATAATGTTGTCTCATCTGCACCACAAAATATTCCAACTTATGTTAATACTCCACATCTTATTCAGCATCCTTTGTCCAAATCAAAACCAACGTTAGTGTCGGGTACTTCAATCACACTTGCTGATGGTGAGTTTTAACTTCAATATATTTTCCAAATATCGGGATTATTTTCTTTTTTTTTTAAATTGTAAATATTCCAAGGGAACTATCGTTAAGTAGATGTCATATTTATGGTGAATTAAAATTGGTGCCAAAATCTAATTGTTATAACATAAACAACATACTGTTAGTAATGATGTTTAATTGATAGGGAAGTGATACTATAGTAATTAATTGATAACTCTAGTAATTTCAGGAAATAGAATAATTGATCGTTAAAATAGTGAGTGGGATTAAAATAATTCTGATATGAAATTTATGTGACAAAATAATGAAGCAGTAGCTCAATGGTTAAGTCGTTTAACTTTCAGATAAAAATTGATCTGTGATTAAAGTCGGTTGACAGAAAAGCCTAGATCTTAATTTTATAATTACTTGGTAATTAACAGGAAAGCGTATTTATAACTAACACACACTGTATGCTGCCTTACAGAAATGATCATGCATCAGGTATTTTAACTGTTAGTTAGATATGGTTAACATTGATCAGTTTCGACCATAATTGATCCTATATAGAACTGAATCAAGTACAGTGCTATCTTATCATCAGTACCAAACAAAGTCTGTTGATTAAGTTTGCCTGGGGACCAATAAGTTATGTAACCGGACACTGTCACATTGCAAGAGAAGGATTTCTTTAGAATTTCCAGACGTAGAGAGTTATCCACCCAAGCAGACATACTTCACATCAGCACAGTGACAAAAGCAGGAAATTAATACGGTTAAAACCTAACGAACTACAATACTGACAGTATCAATAATAGTTACGCAAGTAAAACATTTGGAATGTAATTTGAAAATTATCCTGGTAGTAGTTATCAGTAAGCGTGCAAATATAGATTTGAGGTTGTTGATTGCCTCTTAACATGGTTTACCATCAATCAAAATTTAACACTATGGGTCATTTAGGCTTATTTGTGTTCACAATACGGAATTGATTTTCGTAGAGTTCTTTGCTCAGCACTAAAGATTAGACTGTATGAAATTGATTAAGTACTAGTAGTGACCTCTTGTTGATGGAAAATGTCGTTGAAAAAACTTTTAAGGTTAATGTCTATTATTTTACTGGGCTATTATACATCTGTCACATTCTTATTCGCTCTTTTTCTGTAAGCATATTACTCTTAAATGCATTCATTTCAGCTTTAAATCCTGATATACCAGATGATTATACTGCACCTAATGCTACTGGTTCCCCTTCTCCGGCACCAATACCGATCAGTCAAAATCTAGCGAATCAGTTGTGTAGTCATGTTACAACAACCAGTCCAAATATGAATATTCCTAGTAGTCATCATCATCGTCATCATCATCACCATCAGGGAAAATTATCACGTCTACTGAATTCACATTTGAACAAGCCAACAATGATTGATAGTAAAAAGCCGTTACATCATTCAGAAGTTTTAGTATCTATAAGTAAGTCGTCTCCAGACTACGATAACGCTTCTCGTTCATCCTCATTAATACACTCATCCAATGAGTCGTTTCATCAAATCGATAAACATTCTAGACCAGGTGGTGGTGGTGTTGTCGTTGGGGTTAGTGGAGATCAAGTTTGGAAAGCTCCAAGTTCTGAACGAGTTGTCCGATGCGTCGAAACAATTATTATGCGCATTCGAAGTTTGGTAGAGGTGAGAATATTTTTCTAATTGTTCATACTTTTGATTCACTGTCTCCCTCTAGTTGTAACACAATCAGTACTTGAATTAGACATTTTCAGCTTTTTATTTTTGGTGTTTACTTTTTGATTTTAAGGTTATTATTACTATTACCATTATTAATGTTATTGGATGTTATACATGTGGAACTATCTTTACGTAATAACTAAAGTAAGGTTATATATATGGTCAAATATTATCAATAGCAAGTCAAATTAATGGTTTAATAATAATCAGAGCTCTCGAGTTTAAATAATTGAATTCAGATTCGAACCCGACTTGACCTACTTTGATTTTCGCAGTCGGTCACTATCATTGGTTCTCATCCGTGTGTGTATTGCTTAAACAAGGGTCATACAAACGTATGTTTGGTCATCGAGTTGCGTGTCAATCTCTTTTCTGTTCATGAGATATGGATATTGCCAATCACCATGAAATTCATGTTGTATTTCAGGTTCTCACACTGATATTGTGTAGCACTATCGTGAAATATATATGCACCTATATTAATTAATAACGGCTTGTATGGTTGGATTGTCTTTGCTACCTGATCGATCTCCTAATGGTACGTAATTTTGTGTCATCAGCAAGAAAGCGAGGTCGAAGGTCCTGGATTCGAGTCGCGCGTGCGTGATCGTGAATACACACTTCTGAGGAGTCCGCCCCCAAATGTCCTGGTACCGCCGAAAGTGGGGAGAGTACGCACTCCCTCTCGAAATACTCTCACACGGCCACGCGTATACAGCCTCTGCCAGGGAAATCCTACTCACTGCCTTCTCGCACCACGGGTGTTGTTTACGAAAATGAGAGGACGAAAAGCGAATGTCAGGCGCTATAACCGGATCCCAAATCAATGGTGCACATGGGCTCCAGTATCCCGAAGGAACAAATGGCGTATGAACCAATCGTTGGTCACCGGCTACCATGGGACTGCATCTCCTCACGATGCTCCACTGCCTTGTGGGTCAGACGTTCAGGTCGAAGACTCGGGGTGTGGTCCCCTAATAAAACCACCTGCTTCGGTTTGGGCACCCAGGCAGTATCACAGCCCTCACACATATCAATTGAGATTTGTGTGGCACATATGTATTTGGTGCCTCCTTGTACCAATACCTATGTGTTAAAATAAATAAAAATCTGAGGAGTCCCATACCCGGACGAAACGAACGTCCAGTGCTTCCAGGTTTTCATTGGTGGTCTAAAATTAGTCGGTTCATGATCTCAAAAAATCTCCACAACCCTATACTGACCAATGAATTATGTTCAGGTTTTTTTATTTATCTTAGTAGTTCAGTAGTATTTTTCCTGTATAACAGAATTTTTGTTTATAATTTATGAGTTTGACACATGTTCTCCTGTTGGTACGATGTTTTGATTGGTATAAAACATATAACTCATTAGTAAAAGGGATTTGTGAAGATTATAAAATTTTTAGTTTTAAATCACGAACTGATCTTAGATCACTAGTGAAATCTTGGAAACACTGGACGGTGGTTTCTTTCTTGTATGGGACTCCTCATTGCTAAATTTAATTTTCCGATATTTATAAATGAACTAGTGTTTTCCACGACACTGTAACAATCAGCCATTTGAAGGACGTTGAATAAAAATCTTAACCTGAAAATCTCACGTCTCTTATTACGAAACTACCATCATGCTAATATTGACAAATACGTGTGAAATATCAGTGGTTATGTAATGTAATTTTTTGAAGCCAGTAATTTTCAAAGTAGAAACTGACACATATGTATCACGTCAAGTTGTCACACCACAATAATACAAAGAGATGAGTTAAGGTTCATGCACGAGTAGTAGAATTAGTAACAGATTCTTTTTTTTGACGTAGATTATTTGTTTTGTAAAGTTTAGAGATTTCAATTTATTATATTCTTCGATTCAAGTAGTCACATAGTATCATTAGTTCAAATATGCATAAAATTCCGTTCTACTGAACTATTCTATACTCATTAATCAATTTTTCATAGCTAATTTCAACGTATATTGAAATTACAGATCAACAACAATTTAAAAGTTCTTTTATCAGACACACTGACCAGGATCTAAGAATTATCACATTAATTTGTCTAGGATGAACTTTGAACTGTTGATCTTGTGATTTTAACTTATTTTCATATGTTTCGTCTCTCTCTTATAAAAATATGTTTGTAGATGGTAAAGTCTAGTTAAATAAAACGATTCGTAAAATATATTTCTGATTATATTTCAAATGTGACAATTGTATCAAACTATACGATGTTTATATATATAACAACTTGATAGTTCAATTCATTTAAAGTTGCATTTCTATCCCAACTGTTTATGTTAGCATACACTGTAGTTTGATTTAGTAAACCAACAGTGGATTTACACCAAAAAAAACTAACTAATGATAATTGACATCCTTTATAACAGTGTAACCTTCATTTCATGTCTTCTATTTTTTTAAACACTTGATACATTTAGATCGCTAATGGTGATCGTCATGGTAACAATAGTGCTCATTGTTCTCGTTTAATTCAGTTAGCAGTCAAAGATTTATTAAATTTATTCCCTTCTGATGAATCTCATCCAGTGGAAGTGAAAAATGCACTAAATAATCTTGCCACAGAATCAGAAAATTTACGGCAAGATTGTGAACAAATCACCGCTTCGTCTTCCTTCACATCACCTTCCTCTTCTTCCAGTATTGTTGGATCTGTCAGTCATAGTGGTCGACCAGTTCCACCGGAGATCACTATTCTAATACGTCATGCTCATCAAATTGCTAGAGCTGCAAAAGATTTACTATCGCTTTTTCAACGATCCGATCAATGAATTGTCACTATGTCAGAATGAGACTATTAGTGTTCGTCTTACATAATAGCAACGGTAATCATAATAATAACTAACTGTTATTATCACTACGGTTATGCAATTTCTAATTGATTTTATTTTATGATCACAATGTCGAAAAAGAGAAACAAAAAAATGAAACGGAGAAAACAATCTTTGAATTTATATGCGCGCCAGTTTCAGCAATTCTTATTGTGTAATATGGTCTAGTCATTTATCCCTTTTGTATTATCTTGATGTTATTTCTATAAATTAACAATCAAACTTTTATGATTTATTTACTGTCTTTTTTCATTCATATTTTAATTTGTTTATTTCAATCATTTCATGTTTGTTTGGTTTTTTTTAATATGGTGCGATCGATTTTATTTTGTCTTATTTCTTTATTTTTAAATGAACTTTGTGCATAATGTTTTCTTTGTGAACACTGTGTTCTTTTTGTCGACGGATGGTTAATCAGGGTGTGTTGTTTTACTCTCGGCTTGACTTCTTGTGTGTGTGACAGGTATAACTATATGCTTATTCTTGCTCATTTTCATGGATTAGGGATAAAAGCGGTGGTTTTTCGGGTGGGTGTTGGTAAAAAAAATTGTCCTACTGAAATATGCTGACATTATTTTTCTTTACCCTTATTATTTATGTAGATATATTAAAGAAATATGTGTTAAGGTGTGTTTTGTATTTATCTCTGTCATACTGTACTACTTTGAACTGTGACAACTCTGTTGAATATATATAAATATATATTGATGGTGACGATTTACTCAAATATTTCGTAGCTGGCTGATTGACCAAATATCTCGGAGTTTTTTTTCTATGTATTGGTTAACTTTTTGAAGATGAATTGATAAAGTTAGAGTATGCGTAAGTTTCAGTGCTGTCCATGTGAATTTCCTTACAAGATTGTATTTTATGTTAATAAGAATTTTCCATTGTAAACTGGAGGTTATAAGAAATGTGATACGTTTTATCTATAAATGACTTTACAGCATTTACCTTGTAGGAATCACAAAATGAGTAACAATGAGATTTTATGTCTAGGTAAGAAAGGTTAGTAAGTCATCATTATTTAGGACTTGAGATAAGTGGGCATTAAGTCAAGTTGTTTCATCACATCATCACCATGACAGAAAGTTATTACAATGAGTTGGAGCAGTAGTAGTATCAGTGCTACTCAGAAAGATAAAATACAGAATATTTTTCATTTATAAAGAAGAATTGTAATATGGGAATGAAAAGTATGAGATAATATTAAATCTTAATATTTGAGGAAATATAACGATGAATGTTTCTGCGTCGTTAATATCGATTTTGAGTTAATGTCTCCAACCACTGATCACGATCATTCATTGTTGTCCTGATTTTAGCTTTCTCTGTATAATAGTTTTGTATATTCTGGAAATTTCTCTTCAGGTGTACCATTCAATATTTTTTCATGTTTTGGTTCCTTTGTTGAGTAAATTAATGATATCTATTACTCAACTTTAGTAAATTAGCAATAATAATAATTACAGAATTCATGTCAGTTTACAGGTATGATCAGCCTGATATATATAGTAATATTAAATGTAGTGAACAAACATATGATATAAACCTATTGTAAGTGTTCCAGTTCAAAGACTGTTTGGATAGCACATTCCTCACATGTATTACAGCAATGAAAGACATCAGCCGGGAACTTTTAATTCTTGATAAATAAGAACTTCGAATAGATTTATAATTTGAAAGTAATTTCTTTTATAAACTGATATCATACGAAATTTTCATAGCTAAATTATAATTCGTTCCACAAATCACTTATTTCTTATACAGTAAGATTATTTATATAATTCGTGTTATTTTACTTAATGATAAATCCATTCACTTACAAAGGTATACCCTGTATAAATAAATAATATATTTGAAATATCGCAATGAGTAGAAAAATTAGATTTTCTGACGCTTCGTGATTTAGTGTAAGTCACTTCTTCAGAGGATAAATAACCAAATTAAAACTAATCCAAGTTTCAATAGTACGACGGAATAATTTGTGATCAATCAAATACAGGTTTGAATAAGTTAACTTGTTCACTAAGTCACTAAACGTCAGAAAATCTAATTTTTCTACTCATTGGGATATTTCAAGTATTTTATTTATTTATAATAATCTACCCAATGCTCAATTTATTCGAAATTATCAAAACAAACCTTGGTAATGATACCTGTATATCCTGTATGTATGAAGACATGTATTGTTATTTTTTTCTCTCTAAATTTCATTTATTTTAAACAATCTGAATAAAGTATGTATGGAGGAAACAAACAAAATTCATTTGATTTCACTGTTCTATACAGTCACGTGTAGAATGTGAACATACATCTTTAATATTATGTAACATATAGAGACAACCAATGGATATGTCTTTGAGTATAACTTTTAACCATAACTGAGTACAAGTGAAACGAATTTAAACAACAGAAGCAAATATACAAAAATTCAACTTTGGTTAAGAATCAACTAAGTTAATATTGGGATCAGTAATAGTCAGTGTAAAAATAATTTATGATGTAAGGTATTAAGTAATTGAATGTGATAACTGGATGCAATATTTTTCATAAACAAATACCATTAAAAATCTATAGGATCATGGAGATTGTTGAGTTTCATTGAAATTATGGACCGATCTAAGTTGAACCACCACCGAAAACCCAGTAGCACTTGATGACCGTCTCTTTTTAGCGTGGGATTCTTGAGTAGTGCTCATTCACGACCTCACACGGAGAAATCGAACACAGAACCCTTAGTCTCGAGCGCGAACGTCTAACCTCTAAACCACTGAGTTCGTATCCAACGGTGTTAATGTTTCACTTTGAACTACATGTACTTCTGACGAGTCCCATAGTAAGACAAAATGGCCATCCAGTGTTTACAGATTTCCAGCGGTGGTCTAATTATGATCGGTTAATAATTTAAATGAAATACCATTGACTTCGAAAATGCAATATGAAAATAGATGAAAAAGACATCATTTAAAAAATGATTGGAAAACGCAAATGATGTACTAGTTATTCACTATGTTGGGGGGAATTTTCTTTAAACGGGGTTAATGTAACGTACCAGTTCAGGTCACGTTATGATCATATTAAAACTATTAGGAATTGAGTATTTAGGTCTTTCAATCAGTGCTCTCATAAATCTGCTTTAGCGGTCGTTACTTTGATAGCTAATATTCGGGTTACAAAATACACTTTGCGTGACCTTTTTATGAACTGTAGAGACGAAAAATAACGGAAAGATAACACAAAAATTTATTAACAATTATCGCAAGCTTTGCTTGTTTGAACACAATAACAGTTGCTTTCAGCAATTAAATAATATTCAGTATCTTATGAAACTTAATAAAAATAACGAATAACATTAATATTTCTATTTATTATTCTTTCCACTATCTCGAGCAAGTTATGATGCACGTATACAGTATGTGGTTATCCATCAATTTTTCGGTGTTCGATAAATGTGGGGTATCCGGCATCTTTCTGTCCAGCTAATGAAGTGTAGCATATAAGAGTGTAATTTCCAGTGAAGATTTTATTTGAAGCCCCAAGTTTTATAATATTGGTGGTTCTCTTCTGGTATTTCGGGATACGCTACAATGATATGTTCATAGCAAATAGATGTGGATAACTTCGGGAGCTTGAAATGAAATGTCCAGTAGAAAATACACTCATATGTAGCGCTCATCTACTACATGAATGGAAATCCTAGATATCATGGGCTTATTGAACATTGAAAAATGGACAAATATCCTTATCTATTTACTTTTATAACATAGAGGAACGGAATGAATTTTTCAAGAAAATGTGTAGAAAGCGTAAAATTTAATTGATGTGATCACATGATTTAAAATAACAGTTTAGAGTTAGATGATGAAATCAAATTTAAATCCAAAAAACAATTTCTTAATCGACTAAACAGTACGTTTCATTTTCAACCGTTCAGGTATACATCTATGAAACATACCGTTTCCAATCATAAACATTTACTAATCATATCACAAGTATTTGTAAGGGTTAAGTTGGAACCACCAGAAAGGTATATCTTTTAGAATTATTGTTTTTCTTACTTATATTAAAGGGGTTAATAAATTCAAGAGTAATCGTCTATTTTAGAAATCCCATTGAATAGACCTATGAGTCAAAAATAGAATTGAAGGTTTCTTAATGACAGATACTTTGCTTGGCCCAGAAGATATCCAGTATCCCGTTTAAATGTAAACTGATCTAGTTGAAGGTATAAAGTAAGGCAACCATACCATCCGGTGCCTTCTTATACACCTTAGCTGGTTTAATAACTGTGATGGTTAAATTTATGAAAACATGAAGAGCCCATATTTGAATTATAGTGATGACGTCTTGACAAAAGCCTTGATACCTAGCAGTAATTTTGAGTTGTAATTATTCCTCATAATTGAACAGCTACTGTAAAATCGCTAAACACTTAACTTGACATCGTCTTAATGTACTTTACTTTCCCTCAAGGAGGATACACTACCCAGTTGATTAAATTTAGCACCAAGTTTAAAAATTTCTTTGGTTACTGATGTGTGCTTTTAGAAGATAGGATTAACTGCTAAACATGGACAAATAAACACTTGGTTTACTAACTACTAAATATGTGATTTCCGAGGAGTGGTGGTTGAGACGTTTGACCAACAGCTACCAAGTCTTTGGTTTAAACCCGGCCTTACCTACTTAGTAGGTATCATTGACAAGGTTTGTTTTGATAATTTCGAATAAATTGAGCATAGGGTTGATTGTTATAAATAAATAATATATTTGTAATATCCCAATGAGTAGAAAATTAGATTTTCTGACGTTTCGTGACTTAGTGTAAGTCACTTCTTCAGAGGATAAATAACCAAATTAAAATTAATCCAAGTTTCAATAGTAAAACGGAACAATGCATGAATAATATTTTTAATTTTAATTTGGTTATTTATTCTCTGGAGAAGTGACTTATACTAAGTCACGAAACGTCAGAAAATCTAATTTTCTACTCATTGGGATATTACAAATATATTATGAACTTACCTACTTAGGTTTGGCGAACCGAATAATATCACTAGCCCTTACAGTTAAAGCATGGCTCATCCCCAAATATCTGGTGAATGGGTTAATGTTGGTCCCTAGATGTAGTTTCTCTTACTAGTATTGATTTTTACTCCGAACTCAATAAGTTTAGATTGTTTGTAATTGTGTTGAATAAAGCATTGCCTAATCTACACTTTAGTTCTTTATCTTTCGTCATGAATCATTTATGTGGTGTAACATGATCCAGTCTATGTATAGCGTATCGATCTAGCCAGGTGGTCCCATTCGTATAATCGTAATATAACTTGACGAACCGAAAATGTTTTGTATTCTCCCGCTGTTATATCAAACACTTTAGTGAGCAAAAATATGTCACCAATTATAGAGACCTAAATTATTAGTAATAAAGCTTCTGGATAATTATCTTTATTATTTTGTAGACTGATAACTTAATGCTTGTGTTTCACTGCACACACTCCAGTTCATTAAGTTGAAAGAGGAAAACGTAGTCATACAATTCTATACTTGTTTATAACCACATTGATCATGAACAAAAGGTCAATGTTCATTCAAATCCGTCGAGTAAAATGTGTCTTCTAAACGCATCCTTGAGTACTAGCCAACCTGTTTGTTGAAATGCAGGTAAATTCAGTCGAAGAGACCCTGATTCAACGAAATACACCTCAGTTACTGTAAACAGTCACTGCCAGAAAAAAAACAGTATATCAGTTTAGAAAATTGACAATAATTTATATAATCGTATAAAGGTGTGTCTTGTTAAGATTCAATTCTATGTTTACAAGCACTTATTTTATATGAATATAAAGAAGGGCCTAAAAACATAATGAGCGAACAATGTAAATCACAAAATCTGAATAAGCTTATTAGAAGATGATCACTAGTAAATGAAAATATATAGGAACTAAGGAGAAATATTTTAGGAGTAAACAAGAGGGAAAGAACAGTTGATTTATTCTTTCAAAATATTTAAAATATCTGTAACAGATTGCAAAACATATTTTGGTCGAAAAAGTTCATCTTCTGGTGAACAGTTTACTTTATCAATTAACGCTTGATTAGTAACACCCGTCAGGACGCATACTGTATGCAAACCAAATTTATTCCCAAATGCGATATCAGTATATAAGCTAAAAGTTAAAAGGACAAATAGAATCAAATAGGCAGAATGCAAATTAAAACGTGATTTTTTTAGTGAACTACGAATAGATTGAAGAGGGGAATAAAATACATAATCGAATTTCCAAAAGAGACAAAAAACAAATATATCTGACTTATTTTTTGATAACAAATGTGGAAAGTAATATAAACAAGGAATAGTTTCGGCGATGTTTTAGACTTATTTGTAAAGTACATGTTTACATAGACAGTTTTGAGCCAAACTTTATGGTGTAAGAGCCAGTGGTATCAATTGTTATGTCTGATCGTCGCTGATTGCTGTGCCGAAAAAAACGCTGATCACCTATATTTGGAACGAGGGACCTTTACAATTCCCACGACGCAAAGTAAGAACACAAAACTAGTATAAGTGAAGATTTATTAACCCCCAAACAGTATGACGACGACTACGATGATGATCGTCATAGTTTAAAATACACAGGTTTATATATTGATTGTACACCAATTTTGATTAGTAATTAGGATTACATCACATAATCAGTTATAAGAATTCACTTACTGAGCATAGTTTAGGTTAACGGAATACAAGAATATCGTATAGTATACAGGATAAAATATCATACGAGAAAAGAAAACAAATACTACATTACGTAATCACTACATTGAATCAAAACGGATGTAATGATGAATAAAACTCGTTGAGTAAATTAATCGAATATTGACTTTTCTTCCCATCATATCATTAATATTGGTGGCCTCCTTGAATATCTGGGTTACCCGTTCCTCCCATCTAGATATGTCAACAAGTTATATGTTTTTGTTTGTTTTAACACATTATGTATATTAATCGCATAACATACTAAGGCGCGTTTATGAGAAGTTTAAGACCTTTCGCTGTACAAGTTACAAAAGTAAAATCAGACATCGTGGTTGCTGGCAATATGCATTGGAAGGAATGAACATTATTCAGATGTCAATTCCTGAATTGTTAACATTCAACTCATCACTCAATATTTGTCGTCAGGATCGATCAAGAAATAAGAAAAAGAAACTAATTGAGATACTTTTTGCTTTGTGCTGAGAATTGTACACTTTACCAAAAATATAATATTGCATAAAGCCATTAGTAATAAATGGTTGCCGAAACAGAGATAGGTAGGATGAGGTTTGAACCTACAGGATATTGGTTGGACGGCGAATTATTTAACCATGAATTTATCCATTAATGAAAGCCCCAAGTAGTTAGTGGAGGATTTAATAGCAACAATTGCGACCGATGACTGCTGATCAGTAGCAAGTCATGCCAACTAGGGTCTGTGTTGGATCAACAAGGGTTGACAAATAGATACAGTGGACGGTGGTACAAGGCTAAATGATAGAATTGGAGCTTGCGCTAATAAGGGGCGGCCAAATCAAAACGTGGCATCAGTCCTTGAAGCCACTAACTCCTAGTCTGAGCCATGTTGGTAGGTGAAGACTACTTGGTTGGGGTCCGCGTGACTATCGTAACCAATGGTTGGAGACTCTTGGTGACATGGCTCACAATCGATCACAATGGCGCAGGTGTATACACTCTCTGTCTTCCTCTAACCCAAGAGATTAAAACCGCTTCATATCTTTCTTCCTACGAACCAATTCTTTATTCCTGTACTATCTCCTCATATGCAATCTTTTTGTTTTATGCATTACCACCATTGAATTAACTATTTCTATGAATTCGGTGTTCATTTTGTTGTGCTAATGAGGTATGGCAACTTGAACCGATGCATATATGTACCTGGTCCTACGTTGTAGCTGATTGACTGATTGAGCATTAATAAGTTAGAATACTAAAGATTAAAAAGACACAATAAATTTCACTGGTATCTAAGTAATGTTGAAAGGAGTAAAACAACTCAGGATCCAAAAAGAAATGCAAAGTTTTAGAGTAGTGTCAACGATTAATTAAGACAAAAAGGTACACTAATTATGAGTGCGATGATAATGAAATAGGAACTAGGTCATTTAAGACAAAGTATGGACACAAAATGAAGGTCGTTTAGTATACTAGCAGGTTATATTCGACAATCGCTCTAAATGCTTGTGTCGAATTCTTTTTTGAGTAAATGACACCTGAAAAAGTCTGCTTAACTGGTGACGTTAATTTTATAGTTAGTGAAACATACAAACGAATTGTATTATACCGGATATTTAAGTGAAAGCGGATGAATGTATTCAAACTCCATTACGAATAGTATACAAAAGAATGGCTATAATACTTAGTACACCTAACTTTTGAGAAAATTAACGTGTTATTAAAAACATTATTGTAACGTACTTATCTCCAACCATCACAGTTTTTGAAGGGTCCAATTCGCAATATTGGCAGAGTAGATCAAACATGGGTTTATGTGGTTTTCCAAATACAACAGGCTCCTTTCCTGAAGCAACTCTGAAAGCTGATACGATAGATCCAGTACCTGAAAATATCAATTAGAAACAGGATTATATATGAAGGAATTATGGACTGGTAAGTGATCACGAAACAACTTAGTAAGGACCAAGCAGTATTACGCCTTCATAAATCGCGATTTACAGATTTCGCCTCATGATTCCAGTTAAAGTTTTAGTGAATATTAGTAATAACACTGAGATGGCGCCTACGTCTGTAGGTTGTACTTCTGACTTCAGGTTAACCAGTGAAAATGGAAGAAAACTTGAACTAATTATTATTTGTTCATCATCCTGTCTATTAAACTAAGAAATTGTCATAAAATACGTAGGAATCTAGAACAAATATGCATCAGCTAAAGTTGCCAAACAATTACATCGCTAACAATTAAACCATAAGAAACAGATCTATGTTAAGGTATCATCTTGTTCACCAAAAGCTTTATAAGATATTGTATTTAGAAATATTTGGATAGAAATCTAATTAGAGAACAAAATGCTGCCGAAATTCCGAGTTAGTTTAAGATTTTGGTGTCGTTGAGGTACTTGTCATCGGAAATTTATTGTTATCTGTTTTGTGATAGACTTCTGGTTCATGTGTCAGATAAATGGAGGTGCTGAAGGTTTTATTGTTGTACTGGTCACTGAATTTTTCCAATAAGATAAACACGTTGTCGCAATACACAAAAAATGTTGGGATACACTACAATCGGCGAGGCTATAATTTATGGACGAACCAATTAGACTTACGATAACATCTTGGATTCCAGCGCGAAATTCTTAGTCAATTTGTCTGAGTAACGTCTTGATATTTTAGCTTATGTCAGTGCGTGATGAAAACCCTAAATCTAATTCTTAACCTTAACCATCAACTGTAAATCATAATTCTAGTTCTTCACACTGGTTTATAACCCTCATTTATTCTTAGTTATTAGGTGGACAGTTTCAAGATCACATTGGCGTCGCTCAAGGGTCGTCCATAAATTATAGTCTGAGGCATATGGCCTAACAACACTTGAGCATTATAACTGATGTCAGTTTGTGATGAAGGCCCCTACTTTAATCCTTAACCCTAACTTTCACCTCTATGAATTTTCTCAAGGTCTTATTAGTGCTGCTCAGAAATTGTCCATAAATTACAGTCCCATCGGACAGTAAGCACATACATCAAACTAATTTCATTGTTTGCCTTATTTAGTTTTCCTCTTTTATTCCAGCTTTCTTGTCAACTTGGCTAGGTGATTGGGACAACAACATGAATCCAAAAGTTCAACTAACCTGGGAAGACAATATTGCCACCCGGTAGTTGTGCATCTTCGTTCGTAGCGTAGAAATAAGCCCCATTATTTATGTAGGCAGTTCCTCGCATCAGTTTCCTGTAATTAAAATGACTATCAAAGCCCACAAGAACAGCTTTCACCTATGGCATAACATAACTAACTAATCTTACGTTTGGTCTAAATTCCATTCCATGAAGGGGATTAGACGGGTCGACTGGGAAGTCAGGCTAGGAAATATGAAGTGAAATAGATTGATGTTACTCCGATTCCAAAGTGAGATACTCCAGATTCATTTAATTCAGTGCCGATTCCGCTCTCACCAACCACATATACTTCCCCGTCAGATATTTTTTCTCGAAGAAAACAAGCAGCAACACGAGCTGTACATATTATATTTTTCTGAGAAAATAAATCGATCCCATATCATACTTCCAAAACCGGCAGTCCCAAGCCATTACATTTGGAGACGTATTCTTTTACAGATCTTCTGCTATTATTCGTAACTAGAAAAACATTCTTCTTGTGGTCGAACAAATATTGTATAAGTGCTTGGGCCGATGGAATAAGGACGTTAGAATTCCAGATAACACCTTAAACATCAAGAAACTGACAACACTCACCATCACAGTCAAAAAGGAAAGTATCACAGATACGCAGAACTGCTGAAGCGACCTTGGTCATTCTTGAAAACTCGCCTTGCCAATTCAATACCCAATCCTTCGTATGAACCGATTGGTTTTTGCACATAGTCCCTTAAAAAACTCCAGCGTTAAATAAACGGTTATCGGTAACTTAGCACGATAGTCACTTTAGACCTCTATACATCTCCCTTAATCTAAAACCGGACAGCTACCTTGAAAGGTCTGACCGTCGGTTCAAATTTAAAGTTATTTAAGCCACAGTATCCATAAGACTGCTGTCATCATAACTTTCGATTTTGGAGGCGCGACTCAAAGTTTCAGAGGTCTTTACACCTTGTAGACACTTAGAAATACGAAATTAGGGCCGGCTCCCTTGTTTTTCTTGAGAATACCGTTGATGATCAAGACGTTGTGCAATGAATTTGAACAGGCAAACTAAAGTCACGCTTTACTCGTTAAAGGGCTTGGAGATGCCGCGAGTATTTGTACTTTGGCAACACTTTAACCAGTAACATCTATAATTGAATCGTGCCCATACGGTAAAATCAAAATTAGGGAGAGGGGAGGTTCGAAGACACATCTGATAGGTCATCAATGTATCGAGAAGGGACTGATCTATACTGGCCAGCAGTAGCAGAAGTTGAGCACGGCGTTCGCAATCGTGATCTGATGCGGATGCGTGAGTGAGCGCCGTCAGTTAGGTGAGCCCATTAAAACTAATGTAGTCAGCATCAAATATCGAAGACTTTCAGAGCTATTGATTGTGGGGATTTATTTACCTCTACAAGCTGAAGATTCTTTATAATTGCCTTGCAGCTGCAACATTAGTGAATAGAAAAATTTCACACACTTCAGAATTTAGTCCTTCGGTTAACTATGATATGATAAATATGTCGAGCCATAAATATTTGTTGCTCGTGACTACCAACGTGATTTAATCTGAGCATCGAGATACTCAGATAAAGTACCTTGGGAGTATATACTGATCGTACACAAACCAAAAGAGGTCCCATAGAACACAGCGTTGCTAAAAAGCACTGACCAAAAGAAACAATTTGGACCGTTTAGACTCTACTTTGGGAATTGAAGGATCTTCACTGAGAAGTATTATAACGCGTCATGATGAAAGCCGAGATTCTTCGAAAGTAGTGAGCCTAATAATCCTTCCAACAATCGGAGGAACAAACAATATAGTTACCTGTTATGTCTGGACAATGTATGAGACCGATAGGACCAGTCAAGTAGCTTTGAAAATGAAAAGGTATAACGTAGTAAGGGTTAGGATAGTTGAAACTTCTTAGGCTGAGGCTGGACAGGAGATATTGTCTTCGTGAGAATTCCTGATGTATTCTGGTTACGAACAATCAAGTGCGTTTGTAGAATGTTAACTATGTGAGCACTACATAAAACAGTAGTTTTTGAATGAATAATAATTGAATTATCCTGGACTCTTACAAGGCATTTGTTTTGTGGATCTGTATGAATTTGACAGTATTCTTTCCCTAAAAATATTACTTGGTAAGCAAGCCAATCGACCATTACCTCCTCTCGTCTAGAGGTTAGTGTCTTAACGTTTATAACCTAGTGTTACTTTTGTGTGTACGACTGATGTCGACATGTATAAGTAGTATGCACTACCAACTGAAAGTGAAGTGTCCCGCGGCAGAAGGTTAAAAAGATCGAAGAGAAGAGAACGAGAACGGAGAGTGATTGGTGTGGAAATAAAGGAACAGTCAAGTTTGAGATAATCGACTGACATTTTGCTAATGAAGAACTTACTGTACGGTTCTCAGGTTTTATCAAAAAATTCTGTAATACTGTATTCAAATACATTTGATTGTCCCCACTGATGTTACTCATATTAAGTTATATGAAAACACAATCTCCGTTCTCAATTTAAACTGTTCCAATTCAAGAAAGAGAACAAATCATATCAAAAGTACAAAATACCTCAAACCGTACAGCCTGTGCTATACAGTCAAGGATTTCTCTCACACGAACTTGAATGCTAAACAACAAAAGGAATAGTCAATAAACAAGAGTTCGATACCTGAGAATCAAGTATTCAGAACAAGATGGGATCAGATATCTATCTGCAGGGATTTCAGCAATCTGTCCAAGCACATAGTCAAAGGTTAACAGTCACACATCGAAACACAGCATGATCTTGAGCTTAGTCAAACACGAACCTGTGTCAATACTCCGGCAACATGCCACAAAAAAATTAAGTGACAAAAAGCAAGTCTTTAACCAAAGTCACATAATAAAAGCACATTCGTGGGAGACTGAAGAACACAAAGCGTGGTTAAAAAAAGATCTGAATGAAGTTTAAAACACACGACAGGGAAAGGAAAAAAATAAATGGCACTACTGCCCAAGAAAAATGCTGTGAAGGAATCTTCAGAATTTTCTTTCTGTTACACCTAGTTTGAATCGCGGAATAACGAAGATGATGCCGCCTAAATTGGTGAATAATTTCGCAGGTCTTTAAGAAATATTCCATGAGAAAGAATGAATCATGAGTGCACGCATGTACATCTACCAGGCGAGCCCCAAATAAGTGAAAACGCGCTTTCTAGGTTCCACTGCTAGCTAGATTCCATTTGTTCTATTTTAATTTGCGTCTCAGTGACTATATTGAAGTGTTCCAAACTGGATGCCAACCAAAGCTGATCAAATTTCAGTAAAAAGTATCAACAGTGGGATAATCCAATGCATTTCAAATTGACTTAACGTTTGAATTAGTATATTCTTAGCAAAGGCTTCAGTGAAAGTAAGGAAACGGGGCTCACTGTGTTTGTTAAGATGTGATATGTCTAGCACATGTTTATGAGCGATTAGTTTGTTTTGGTCTAATGATCTGTGTTTACAATATGTTTATTAATAAAACTTTACATAAGTCCATTTCCGAATCCTCTCAACCATCTCGACTGATGTTCATGAATACTCTTGGAAAGAAAACTAATTCGACCAACGGTAAATACATCTTTCAAACAGCAGGTAAATTGACGAAAACACATATAGTTCATCAGATGCAAGAGCTCGTCCTTAAGATCATTGCTATACAGTGAATAAGTGAACCGGCCCATATCTAAGGTTGCTGTGATCTGAAAGAGTTAGAAGTTACCCTTTTCAAAATGTCTTCAGGTCTATCAATTTTAGAATTAGTATTCATATAAAGCGCTTACTTTGTCATAGAGTTTATTGATAGTTATGGAGGGTTGGGCTTCATATTGTTGTCCGAGAATCTCGGTAGAAATATGTTTTTAATATGTTTTTTAAAGGCTTAAACCTTCGTGTGTCATATCACGACTACAAATTCGTCAAATTTATGTGATGAGAAATATAATGTTATCTTTCTTTATACTAATAAGAAACTAACTGTAAAAGTTAAGCATGTTTATCAAACATCAGTTTTATTGCAGGATAACAGTTGTGGAAGAACGGAAGAAAAATTTCCAATCTCATTTATTATCATAACTGATCAGAGTATCATCTGAACACCTTTAATAGAGAAAGATTGTTGTCTCTAATTAATTGTTTTCTAGAGTGTCCTTGAAGCAGTTTCATCTTGATGGATCAACAGAGGATTCCAAAGTTATACCGTCCTTTTGTCTGTAGATTGTCGTAGGAATGAAATAAACGTGCATTGCTATAAAAACTCATTTTCATAAGAAATCGTATACTGATATTTTTCATGTCATCATCTATGTATCTCAATATAAAGTAAATGGCATCTGAAAGTAGTAATTTAGCTCAGCTAGCTCAACATGAAGTATAATCATATTTGATATTAACTTATTTTATGTGATGAAATATTTTAACTATCTAGAGTTACGTCTTTCCACGAGATCCATGAGATCTACTAGCCGTTTTGATAAGAAATGTTAATGAGAGTAAGAAATGGACAGAGAGCTAACTTGGATTTGGGTACTTACGATGAATAATATGATTTTGACATCATTCAGTCTGTTATGTACGTAAATATAATCGTTAATTACTTGACTCCTTTTTATTTCTTGAAGTATTTCAGTAGCCTATTTTCATATCATTTCATTAACGTGTTTAGAGAAGTCAATGCTACTTGAAATCAGATTCGTTATTTTGTCATCATAGTTTTTGGTCCGCTAGATCTACCATTACAGTTTTGTCAGGATATGTTATCAAAAGGTTTTAATCGTTTCTAGGCAGTGTAAGTCATTTCCTGTGAACTTAAGTCGAAAGATATTTGATTGTGAATTGTATGTACCGTTGTAGTAAACAACAACACGAGTGAGGACAATCGAATTTATTTTAATACAAAGTTACAGAATATCTCACCAAAATCTGAGAACTATACACTAAATACGTAATTTGCAAAGTATCAATCTGTTGTCCTAAACTTGACTATTTCTTTTGCAAACATCAGTCCGCCTTCTCAGATTTCATTGTTTCTGCATTTTCATACCAATTGCTTTTCTTTCCTGTTCTTTCCTTCTCGATCTTCTATTGAAATACATTCTTTTCCAGACTATCGTTATATACTGCTTATGTGGATATAAGTAGCTCACACCACACCGTTACTGGTTGTAACTATCAAGATGAATGAAGTTGAAGCATGGAATTTATGGTCGGAGACAGTGTTTAATTTGTTTATTGGATCGAACACATTTTTGCACAAACATCATTTATGTAGACATTCTTAAGGTTACCTAGATTGATTTTCTCGATGAATTACCAATCAACTAATCATGTGTTCGAATGTTACAACAAAGAAAACTCAATTAAAGAATCATACTTTTGTTTCTGTTCCAACCAACCGTACTTAATAACCTTTCTCTCATCCTTAAGAAGCATGTTTTAAATGTGTTAAGACTTGTAATAAAATCAAACTTTACGGCACACAGTTTTCCAAAATGCTTACACCAAATGATTTCTATTAGGATATAGATTGCTCTCTCTTTTTTGCTCTTATGACTAGCTTCATAGCTATAACTTCGCCAATTATTTTATTAGATCAATAAACAACAATTTAGGGTTTCAGGGGATGATGTTCCGTCAAGTAAAAATTTAAAGATACATTTAAACTAAATATTTTTCATTAGAATGTTCTTGGTTCATTTGTAT